GTCATCTACAAGCTTTGCAAGTGGGAAAACCTGAAAAATCAACAGTGTATCAAATACTTGTTCTCCCCACTGTATAACAACACTGTTAAGTATTACATGAGACTTAACTGTGGGCGGAGCTTATTTAACACTGTCCAGTGTTGAGACAACACTGAGGAAATCAACACTATGAATTAACACCAACACTGGGTGTGAGTGTACTCAGAAAGTGTTAAAATAACACTAGGGGGGTGTTAAATCAACACCCAAAAGTTTAACACTGAAGTTTTAACACTCCTGTTTTTGCTGTGTAATGAAAAAGTTGGGATGTGTAAAATGTCAATTAAAACAGAGGGCAGTGCTTTGAAAACAAAAACTTGGATTTTATTCACAATGAAATATGGTAAAAATGCCAAATGCTGAAACAGCTTTTTAAATATTTTTAGAAAAATAATAAAACAGTAATTTTGAGTTTGATGAAAGCAACACATCTGTAAAAAATGTTCCAGAGGCAAGAAAGGCTTTAAAAGTAGGAGGTATGAATGAGTCGTAGCGACATTTTCTAACTAGTGAGGTTAACAGGTCAGTAAGAGTTACAGTGTTTAGAGAGGCTGAACCTTTCAGAAGATGAGCAGAGGGTCACCAGTCTAAGAGAAGCTGTGTCTTTAAATAGAGGAAATGGTTTCAGTGGTTCCTGTAAAGAATTTAACATTTTGATTGGTCTGACCACAGAACAGTTTCTCACTTTGCCTCGGTCCATTTGGAATGAGCTTCGGTCCAGAGAAGATGACCGTGTTTCTGGATGGTGTTCACAGCGTTCTTCTTTGTATGATAGAGCTTTAAAAACCTTTTCATGATGTTATGAACTGTAGATGATAGGATACTCAAAGTCTTCCCAATTTTATGTTAAGGAGCATTATTCAGAATTAGTTCCACGATTTTTAGGCCCTGGTTTTTACAGACTAGTGAACTTCTGCAAAATTTAGCCTCAAAATAAATAAAATGTAAGTTTATGAGAAGTTGTATAAAACACACGTGTATTGTTTTGGTAGTTGACTAACAAATAAAAACTATATAGAGTTATAAGGTTTTCTAAAAGAGGAGTAAGTTTTAACAGAGCTCCTGTCTACAGTGACGTGTGCTGTGATGCAGAAGACAGGAGCTGGTCTTCACACAGCAAACTCCTGCTACTGGGACACTGCCATGGACGGTAAGACCCCCCCCCCCCCCCCCCACTCCCACTGTCTCATTGCTCAGTAATATGTAAAGGCTGCTTTAGCTTCCATGTTGTTCTCATGCTTTTGAAAAAGATCTCTTGTCTCATGATCACTTTTATTCTTTTTGTCTTCTTGTAATACTTTTAACTTTTAGCTCACCATTTTGCTTCTGTTTATTTTTTGATATTCAGCATTTTGCTATTTTTCCAATAAAAAAATAACCTTTATATTGAATACACACTTTGGAATATTTATGTTTGAAATGTTTAGCTGCTTAAAGGAAGAAGTTTGTTTGGAATTATAGGAATTAATTCTATATATAAACTACCAGTCAAAGGTTTGGACACACCTTCTCATTCAGGCCGTGGCCAAACTATTGACT